TTGAGGGAGGGCTATATAACTGGGTGTTCTCTGTAACTTGTACCATGACTGGTGCAGAGATTGAGCCTAGTGCCCAGGCCAAGCCTGAAAAGAAGGATGGGGAAGAGGCTGGGGCTGGGGCTGGGATAGAGAGTAAGGTCCCTCTGGTGGTCAGACCCAAGGTTAGGACCCAGCCGCAGATAATGACTGGGGCAAGGCCGAAAACTAAGACCAAGATTATGCCTGGAGTAAAGCCGAAGACTGAGGCAAGTGCCGTGGGTAGGTCACGTCCTAAGAGTAAGGCCAAGGCAATACCTGGGTCAAGATTTAAGGATGAACCCCAGGTGTATGCTCAGACCAATGCCTCTCCACTGGTCACTACTGATTGTGAGTTGGTTGCTAAAACTAAGTGCCTGTCTGTGGATAGAGAACTGGTTAGTATGGACACTGGGAACTTTCAGGGAAGGAAAGCTGACTCCCAAGCTGGATTCCAGCCTTCTCTTATGTCAGAGGATGAGACCTATATGGGGTCCTGGCACTCTACTAGGCCTACATCCAAACAAGAGGCCTCTTACAATTCTAATTTCAGATGGGTTGATAAATCCTCTGTGAGTTCCTGGTTCTGGAGTGGAGATGAGGTCACTACAAGATGTCATCCTAGGAACCAAACAAAGGCCAGTACTAGGTCCAGGCACATGGCCAAACAAGAGGCTAATACCATGTCTAGGCCTAAAACAAATCAGGAGCTCTATATTGTGTCTAGTTCTGGTTCTGAAGATGAGTCTGTGAAGTCATCCTGGTTCTGGTCCAGAGAAAAGACCAATACCTCGTCTGGGCCCAGGGGAGAGGACAGTAGCAGGTCCAGGTTTAGGTTCAAGAAAGAAGTCTATGTTGAATCGAGTTCTGGATCTGAGAATGAAGGCCATATGAAGTCCTGGTTCTGGGCTGGAGAGGAGGCCAAATTCAGATCCAAACGCAGAGCCAGGAAAGAGGCCAATACCAGGGCCAGGCGCAGGGCCAAGCGAGAAGCTTGCAGTGATTTCATGTCTGGGTCTATAGATGTAATCAAAAAAGAATCTTGCTTCTGGCCTGAAGAGAAGATTAATACCTTTTCAAGGCCCAAGACCAAGAAAGAGGCCAGGGCCAGAGCAATAGCAAAGGCAGAGGCCAAAACCAAGGCTAGAGCCAGGGCCAAGCAAGAAGCCAGGTCAGAGGAGGAGGTCCTCATTGGGACCTGGTTCTGGGCTACAGAAGAGCCCAGCATGGTGGATGGGGCCAGTGTCAAGTCCAGTCCACAAGTGGAGGATGAGTCCATTTTTGGGAGTTGGTTCTGGACTGAAGAAGAGGCCAGTGTGGGGGCTGGGGCCAGCAGTAAATCCAGACCGATGGCTGAGCAATCTATTGGTGATTCGTGGCATGCAACTGGGGAAAAGACCAGTATGAAAACTGGGACTGAGGCCATCTCTGAATCTATACTAGCAGCTGATGATGAAGAGGTCATTATTGGTTCCTGGTTCTGGGCTGGTGAAGAAGTCAGCCCAGAGGCTGAGGAAGATACCATTTTTGGGTCTTGGTTCTGGGTCACTGATGAGACCAGTGTAGAATCTGGTGTTGGGGTCAGCTGTGAGTCCAGGCCAAGTTCTGAGGAAGAAGAGGTCATTGGTCCCTGGTTCTGGGCTGAAGAAGAAGTTGATATGGAGACTGAGGTTAGAGAACAGGCCAGTCCAGGAGCTGAAGAAGAGACAATATTTGGGTCCTGGTTTTGGGCTGAAAACCAAACCCACATGGATTCTGGGGCTGAACCTAGCTGTGACACCACTCCAGGGGCTGAGGAGGAGGAGCCCATTATTGGATCTTGGTTCTGGGCCAGAGTAGAAGCTGATGTCAACAGCAAGTCTAGCATGGAGGATGAAGAAGAGGCCATTATGCCATCTTGGTTTGGGGCCAAAGAAGAGGTCAGTATGAAGTATGGGGCTGGTGCTCGATGCAAATTTATGGCAGGGGCTGAGGAGACTGAAAATAGGTCTTCCTTCTGGGCAGAAGAAGAACCCTGTATGTATCCTGCCAGTGGAGGAAGCTGGAAGTCTAGCCCAGAGGAGGAAGAGGACACCATTGATTCGTGGTTCTGGTCCACAAAATACACAAGGCCAGAGACCATTGTAGGGTCCCAGTTATGGGTTGCAGAAGAGAGTAGTATAGATGGGACTGGAGAAGAGGCCAAGCTACCAGCTGAAGAGGAGACCATGATCAATTCCTGGTTTTGGAAAGAAGATGAAGCCATTATAGAGGCTACCAACAGAGAAGAGTCCAGGTCAGAAGCTGAGGAGGAGGACATTATTGGTTCTTGGTTCTGGGCTGGAGAAGAGGACAGGTTCGAGGCAGAACCTGAGGCTGGAGAAGAAGATAGGCTAGCAGTTGAGGAGGAGGGTATTGTTGGGACCTGGTTCTGGGCCAGGGAAGAGGCTGGATTTTGCAGCAAATCCAGTCCCAAAGCTGAAGAGGAAGAAGTCATTGTCGGGCCCTGGTTCTGGGAAGAAGAGGCCAGTCTGGAGGCAGCAGCAGGGACCAACTTTGAGTTTAAGCCTGGGACTCAGGAGGAGGAAATCACTGTTGGGTCCTGGTTCTGGGCTGAAGAAGCAGCCAGCATAGAGGCTGGGTCTCAGGCAGTAGAAGAGACTGGGTCAGGTACTGAAGAGGAGACCATTTTTGGATCCTGTTTCTGGGCTGAAGCAGAGACATGCTGTGTATCTAAATCAGAGAATGATGAAGAGATGATTGTTGAATCCTGGTTCTGGTCTGAAGACAAGGCCATTAAGGAAACTGAATCTGTGGCCACCTATGAGTCCAGGTCAGAAAATGAGGAAGAGATAGCTATTGGGTATTTGTTTGGAGCTGAAGATGAGATGAATAACAGGACTGGCAATGTTACCAACTGTGAGTCCAGGACATCAGTTGATGAGGATGAGGCCATAGTGGGGTCCTGGTTCTGGGCAGGAGATGAGGCCCATTTTGAATCAAATCCTAAACCGGTGTTCAGGGCCATTTGCATGTCAGAGTGTTCAGTTGAGCAGGATCCTGATCCTTCACGCAGGCCTCAGACTTGGGAGGAGGTCACTGTTCAGTTCAAGCCTGGTCCATGGGGTAGGGTTGGCTTCCCATACATAAGCCCCTTTAAATTTCCAAAAGAAGCAGCATCTTTATTCTGTGAGATGTTTGGGGGAAAGCCCAAGGATGTGAAACTTAGCCCAGAAGGGGAAGAGCAGGAATCTTCACCTCAAACTGATGAGCCTGACCCTGAGTTTCCATTTCAGTACGATCCTTCCTACCGGTCAGTCCGGGAAATTCGAGAGCATCTTAGGGACAAGGAGAGTGCAGAGCCTGAGAATTGGTCCTGCAGCTGCATACAATGTGAGCTTAAAATTGGTTCTGCAGAGTTCGAAGAACTCCTTTTATTAATGGAGAAAACTCGGGATCCTTTTGTTCATGAAATATCTAAAATTGCAACGGGTATGAGAAGTGCTTCTCAATTTACCCGAGATTTCATTCGTGATTCAGGTGTTGTCTCACTTATTGAAACCTTGCTCAATTATCCGTCCTCCCGAGTTAGAACAAGGTTTTTGGAAAATATGATTCGCATGGCTCCACCTTATCCAAATCTAAATATGATTCAGACATACATATGTCAAGTGTGTGAGGAAACCCTTTCTTATAGCTTGGATTCCCCTGAGCAGCTTTCTGGAATAACAATGATTAGTCATTTCACTACTACTACTGACTATCACACACTGGTTGCCAATTATATGTCTGGGTTTCTCTCCTTATTAGCTACAGGCAATGCCAAAACAAGGTTTCATGTTCTGAAAATGCTACTGAATTTGTCTCAAAATCTTGTCATGACAAAAGAACTACTCAGTGCTGAAACAATGTCAGAATTTATGCGCCTCTTTAACAGGGAAGACACCCCTGACAATATTCAAGTCCTTCTTGCAATAGTTGAGAATATTGGTAACAATATCAAAAAAGAAGAAGAGTTCGCTGATGATGATTTCGATCTTGAGCCACTTATTTCTGCATTCCATGAAGTTGAGAAATTTGCTAAGGAACTGCAAGGCAAAATAAACAAGCAAAATGACCCTGAAGCAGACCAAGAGAATTAGTATGATTAATTACTTGCCTCTGATTGTCTTTATGTTCCTTAGTTATGATCCTTGAGTAATGCTTTGGTTTTCACAGTTGGTTCTATGTTGCATTGTACATCTTTAATGCTGATACTAACTTTGCCTAACCCTGTGTGTAAGCTGGATCATTTTTCTGATGCCAAATGAATATTAGAACTGAAAACACACTTGGTGATATTTGTCTTGTCCAAATTGTGATCTCGTGATCTTTAGTATTTGAGCTTATAGTGAACTGAGCCATCATAAATAAGCTACCCTTCTGATTGTTGTTCTACTGTATAGGTATCTATTTGAGTGTTGTGTTTCAATAAAGTTCTGTGTTAAAGTTGGCAGAACTCACCCTTCTTCTTCTTTTTCTTCTTTTTTTTTTTTGTGACAGGGTCTTGCTTCATTGCCAGGGTTAGAGTGCTGTGGCATGATCATAGCTCACTGCAACCTTAAACTCCTGGGCTGAAGCGATTCTCCTGCCTTAGTCTCTGGAATAGCTAGGACTACGGGCATACACCACCATGCCCTGCTAATTTTTCTATTTTTAGTAGAGATAAGGGTCTCACTCTTATTTAGACTGGTCTGAAACTCCTGGCCTGAAGCAGTCCTCTCGCCTCAGCCCGTAGGATTTACAGGCGTGAGCCATCACACCTGGCCAAAAATCACCCTTCTTGAACTTAAAATTCAGATCCAAAAGTAACGTGAACACACACAGAGATGATGTATGAATAACATGCTCCTTGTGAAAGCTTTCTCTCAGCTTTAGACACAAAGATCACCATGGACTGCAACTTAGGGCAGGCTTCCGAGAAAAAGAACTCACTTTGAAGTTGCACTCTTGAGTGTAGGAAAGAGGTTGGTGGTATGTATAAAAAGCATGGAGCTGGGAAAAGTGTTCCTACGCGAATGAGGTATCCAGTCTGCCTGGAGTCAGTGGGAGGAATATACTCAGGTATTGGGGATGAGGTAAGTTTTGAAGAGCTAAGAAGTTGGATTTTGAAGCTCAAAGTACAACTGTTTCTTTGATGCTACCTAAAGGGTAAAAGAACAAGACAGGAAAGCACAGGATTTTATTTGAGTCTGGAAAATGACTTAATCATGATGGTGCCCATGACAAGTGTTAAGGCAATTAAAAGTGATGATATACAGGTTTTTTAACTAGGAAAGCCCTGATGCTTTTTATATTTGGTGTGATAGAGAAGACTGGTGTCATATATGGAAAATATCCCATTTAAAAAATAAATGTGAATAAATTGAATTCATGCAAGTATATGTTATTTGATTATAGAAAATTCTACAATGATATAAAATCTATCAAAGGAATAGAGGTACAAAAGACAACTTCAGAAGAACTGGTTTGCCAAATAAAAATACAAAATTATTTAAAAGGAATAAACTGTAAAATTACCAAAGTTCCTGAGTTCATTCCACATGTTTTTGCACATTTGCAAAGGTTGGAACGTATGGTCAGACAGGAGCAAAAGTCAGCGATAAAATTGGTTTGGGAAGGGAGTCCAGTATAGGGGGAAATATGATGAGTTTTAATTTTTTAAGGAAAAGAACTAGACTCAGAGATCCTATTATTTTTGGTTTGTCTCAGGGTGCAAAGTGCTTTTTCCCACCTGATGGTGGTATGCTAAGATTTATGGAAGTAGGGAAAAGTGGCAGTTTTGCCTCACTTCACAAACCACAAATGTTAACAGGGACCATCCTGGTGGTGGAGATT